TAGCACATTTCATTCTAGTTCTAATTCTTGGAAAATACCCAGAGGAGTTCTGTAAAATCGGTTGCTTTATAAAGGTAACTGCTGTTGTGTAATGTTGTTGCTTACTTTGGAGCCAAAAACCAGTCTTGGAGTTTATTGACTCCAGGGATATCTTACTGGAACGAGACCAGGGGTCAGGAATATAATGGAAGCAGGGCTTATGAAAATCAACTCTACCCAAACGAAGCTGTCATCCTCTTTACTCCTGAGCCCAGGCAGGCAGCCAAGCTGCCTGTTAGTACTCTCTGGGACACATCATAACTCACCATCGGGACAGATACCATGGCAATTGGGAGAGAGCTAGCCTTCCATTAAAGTTCCATAAAGTCCTTGCCATGGTGGACAATTTACCATAGCTACATCAAAATTTTATCTATTTCTTTGGTCAAGACCTGTACTCCAGGTGCTAGCAGAGCTGGGTTTTGTTACTGTTCCAAGCCTGTGATCTTAGCCATCCCACTGAAATGCGGAGTTCAATGATTTGTAGGTAAGTCTGTCTGCTGTTTTCCTTCCTTGGAATGGTTACTGGAGAATCCTAGAATCCCAGAATAGTGCAGTAAGAAAGACCCTTGAATGTGGGGGAAGCAGAGCAGGCAAGATGCTCTTCTATGCTCTGACTTTAACCAGAGGAAACTAAAATTTACCTATTTTGTATTCTGTAATTCTGCAAAAATTCTGTGGTCTTAAAAAATGTTTCTGTTATTTGCAAATAGAAATAAGAAAGGAAGAAAATGGACCAAAAAAGACTGACCTAAGCTAATTTTTCCATTTTTCTATGGTCTATACAGGATATGAGACTATTAAGATTCAGAGAGGGAAATATTTTCCCAAAGGTCACACAGTATAAAGGTAAGAGAAACAGGACTTGGATCAGAATTTTTTCCTTGAACTTTCGTACTGGTGCTTTTTGTGCAATTCTAGATTCATAAGATGTAGTTTGATTATGTCTGGATTCTCCCTGGTTATTTTTGGGACTCCATATTTTAAAACAATACAGAAAGAGCTACTTCTGGAAAACAAGACATTAATTATATTTTCACCTCTGGTACCAATGAACTGCACAAACACTCACTTTATCTCTGTTGGAATCAGTTTTATCATCTTTCATGGAAAAGATTAGGTTAACCAGTTTCTGACTCTGATATTTTACTATTCCAGTATTTTTGCTATATCCTCATAGTTTTCTGGACATTAATGCAATATTAAAAATAGGATAGGCCCAGTGATTGAGGAATTAGGACAAACTTACAGTCCCAGTGTGGTAATTACTGGATAACCCTTTGAGCACCTGTGATGTGCCAGGCACTGCAGCAGATGAGGGGAGAATGAATGATCAGGGTAGACAGCCCAGTTCTTGTCCTCATGTCAGGCTGTCCAGGTTTCCTTCATCATGCCCCACAAAATCACCCAAACTACCAATACACGCCACCCCCCAAATTCTTCGCTCACTTGGGAATCACCTCATTAGAACTTCATTCCTCTTTATCTAGATTTGTTGTTCCCACCATATCTAAAATATAAACAGCCCTGCTGAGGTTCAGGACAAGAAAGCTCTTCATCATCATTTTCAGACTGCACATAACCATTTTTCGTCCAGTAAGATGGGAGGGGAGAAGGAGCCTATCCAAGGCAATTATAGCTATTACAATTTGGCTCCACTGATTGCCCAGACCCAGGGTCATATTATTTTACTGAGTTCACAAAACAGGCTCTGGAGTCAATAAATTGGAGGTTTAGATCTTAACCCAGTCACCTAATAACTTCTTGAGCTTTTGCAGCCTCAGCAATCTTCTTGTCTGTAAATGCATGGAATAGTAATTTAATTCATTCGGCAAATATTGCTTAATGCCTGCTTTGTGATAAACCCTGGGTGAGGCTATGAGGCTCTAGTGGCCTCCCAGAATTTGCAGTTAAGGAGACAGAGAAGAAGCAAGCAAACAATAACAAATACAAAGTGTACCAAGTTTTACTAACTAAAGGTCATGTGGCGGATGTAGCATTTTGATTGCATACAAGTCCATGCACCAAGCTTAGGTAGCAGGTACAGTGCAGAGAAGACACTAAATTAGGGATGAAAAGACATGGGTTCATATTCTGCCACTGTAGGTCATTTGAGAAGTAATGAAAACTATTTTTCTCTCCAAAATTTTTTTATTTCATTTAATATTCACAATCTATGAGATAGTCTTATTATGGCCTCCATTTTACAATACAGCAAAATCACAACAGGAGATTAGAGTGATATACCCGCTTGTCCAAAGCCACAAAGCTGGTGAGCATGGATGCCAGGATTAGAGGCTAGTCTTATCTGGTATCAAAACCCTGCTTCTGGTGACTACAGTAAGGTAACAGATGTGAAAAGTCAAATGCACTGTAAAAATAAGCGGTGGTGGCTCAAACATCATACAAATATGTATATATAAGTTACTTTTAAAAGGAAATGTAACATATATGATACAAAATTTTTCTTTAATTTCACCTGCAGATGCCTCTGTTCAAAATAACCTGGCTATCTATGTCGTATTTATAGAAAATAACCAGCAGTTAGCTTTTTTAAAAAAAAGATTTTATTTATTTATTTGGGAGGTAGAGTTAGAGAGAGAGAGAGAGAGAGAGAGAGAGAGAGAGAGAAAGCTCTTCCATCTACCGATTTACTCCCCAAATGGCCACAACAGCTGTAACTGGGCTGATCTGAAGCCAGGAGCCTGGAGCTTCTTCCAGGTCTCCCACTTGCGTGCAGGCACCCAAGGACTTGGACCATCTTCCACTACTTTCCCAGGCCATAAACAGAGAACTGAATTGGAAAAGGAGTAGTAGCCTATTATGCCACAGGAACAGCCCCAGCAGCAATTCATTTTTATCATACTTTAAAAATTCATAGATTAGAAATACTAGACACATGGAGTTTAAATTAAAAAAATGATGAATCTTGGTAAAATGTACCTTTCATTCTAACTGTAGATGTGCAGAAATAAGTAGGAGGGTGGGGGAAATACTGCTTTTAAAGTTTCTCTTCCCTATTCTGTTACCTATTACGGGAGAATTTATTTCTAAAACTGTCTCGGTTCAAATCACTGACTTTCTTCTTAGCTTTTGAAGAAATTTTCTGGTCTTTCTTCTCAGTGTCCTTGCACTCCCAACCACTTCTACACTAGCCTATTATATTGTTAAAGATTTGTTTGACATCTGATCCCTGCTTGAAAAGAAATAAACAAAATTTTAAAAAGAAAGGAAAGGAAAACTTTTATGGTTCCTTCTTGTCCATAGGAAAAAGGTCAAATTCTTTAACATCAGCAAATAATTATTGATCACTTACTATGTACCAGGCACTAATATAGGTGTCTAGGATACTTCAATATCACAAAAGGGCCTGAGTGGTGGTGTAGTGGGTAAAGCCACTGTCTGTGACGCAGGCATCCCATATGGGCACCAGTTCTTATTATGGCTGCCACACTTCTGATGCAGCTCCCTGCTAATGGCCTGGAAGAAGGAGAGGAAGATGACCCAAGTGTTAGGACCCATACCATCCACATAGGAGACCTGGATGAAGCTCTAGGATCCTAGTTTCTGTCTGGCCCAGCCCTGGCCATTGTGGCCATCTAGGGGAGTGAAACAGCAGATGAGAGCCTTCTCTCTCTCTCTCTCTCTCTCTCTCTCTCTTTCCTCTTTCTCTCTCTCTGTAACTCTCACTTTCAAATTAATAAAGCTTAAAAAAAAACTATCAGAAGAAACAGATCCCTAAATATATCAAGCTATATTGGAGGGAAGAAGTCAATAAAGGAACAGGTTTTGCATTTAATGTTAGAAGACAATAGTACTATAAAAACAGATTAGGATAAAAGGGAAAGAAGTCCAGAGGTGAGGAGAAGATAGAAATTTAATATGAATACATGTGCACACATGTAATTATATATACAGTTTATGCAATTATGTGTTTGTAGGTTTGTGCTTATGCATATATATATATATGAAGCATACTACCATGTTTGCATCTTTGCTTCTGAAGATCTTTCACAATTTGTCTGCTGTCCTTTCTCAAAACTTGTCTTCTATTAATCCTGTTTATTGCGTGCTCCTGCCATGATATTTGATGTCCCTAAAACGCTATGCTCTCCTGTGCGTTTGGAAACACTTTACCTCCTTTGAATTTAGAGATCTCTGAACCAGCCACCTCCCAACTCCATCACACACCAAATTTTCATCCTGATATCCCTTTACTCATCTTTGGAATCCTCCTCAAATATGTCTTTTTGAAAAGACCATCTGCTTGTCCAGATTGCATGGAATTGTATGAACGATTCTCAGAGCTCCTGTTGCAGGATGATAAAATTGAATGGCCTGTCTGTCCCATGCATTAAGTTGAGCATTTTGAACTTAAAAATGTTCATTAATTTTTACATCATTGGCATCTAATCCTGTCAAGAACTTGAGGGTAGATATTTGATCAATTGGCTATGTTTGTGCACAAGCAGTGGTAGAATTTTAATGTCAGACATTTTTAGCCCTTATTTAGTCTCTCAAAGGGATGTCAGTTTTGCAAAGCTCTATGTACTTCACTCTCCTACTTAAAGGAGAAAAAACTAAACTTGACCTCATAAACCAAACTACATTTACAAGAAACACATCGGTCTCTCCAAGCATTTTGAGTTACGGTGTTTTTGTTCTCTTAGAAAATAATATACAGTGTAAATCTTAGTGATCTAATAATCTAATCCCAATTCTTGGAGCAATTGAAAACAGTAGTAGTTAGTGAAAGTGCCATTAGTAATTTCCTTCGGTAGCATGGTGATGTTGACAGCGAAGGTAACATCCAGGCAATGTAGAAATATTAAAGAATTTCTTCTGGAGTCTGTCAATTTTACGTAAACATATGCGTCAGAACAAGGTGACGGTGCTCTCCATGAAAGGCCCGACCATGGGGTGGAATGAGATTCTGCATTAGGGATAGGACATTTGCCTTATGGTGTCTCCTCTGATTCTGGGAGTGTATGATTCCCCTACAGACCCAGTTCCTTCACCTGATTGTCATTGCCCCAGGAAATCTCCCTTTGGGGCTCTGAATGCAGCAGAGAGTTGACACATGGATGTGGGAAGAAATGACAGCACAGTGACCAATTTCATCCTTTTGGGATTTTCAGAACGTCCTGAGCTGCAGGTTATGCTCTTTTTGCTTTGTCTGGGAATCTATTTCATGACTCTGGCTGGGAACCTGGGCCTCATTGTACTTATCAGGATGGATTCACATCTCCACTCCCCCATGTATTTCTTCCTTGGTAACTTATCCTTTGTTGATATATCATATACCTCCTCTGTAGCCCCTAAGATGCTCTGTGACTTCTTCCAGGAACAGAAAGTCATCTCCTTTGTGGGCTGTGCTGCTCAGTTTTTTTTCTTCCTTGGGATGGGAGGCACCGAGTGCTGCCTCCTGGCGGCCATGGCATACGACCGATATGCTGCCATCTCCAACCCTCTGCTCTACACAGCCCTCATGTCTCCCACCATCTGTGTGGGGATGGCCATTACAGCGTATGCCGGTGGACTCCTCACGGGGTTGGTCCAAACTAGCTCCATATTCCAGCTCCATTTCTGTGAGCCACGAGTCATTAACCACTTCTTCTGCGACCTGCCACCCCTGCTGGGCTTGTCTTGCTCCAGTACCTTCATCAGCCAGGTGGTGAACTTTCTAGTTGTGTGTGCAGTCGGCGGCACATCAGCTCTTGTTGTCTTGGTTTCCTATGGCTACATCATTGCCACTGTTATGAAGATCCATTCAACTCAAGGGAGGATAAAAGCTTTCAGCACCTGTGCCTCTCATCTGACCACAGTGATTCTCTTTTATGGCTCAGGGCTCTTCTCATATCTTCATTCCACTGTTGGGTACTCACGGGACCAAGATAAAGTGGCTTCCATGTTCTATAGTGCTGTGATCCCCATGCTGAACCCCATCATCTATAGTCTGCGAAACAAGGAGATCAAAGATGCATTGAAAAATATCAAGGAGAGGAGGAAGCAGTTATCCTCTCTGTGTTTTATAGTTCCTTAAGTTAAAAAAAAAAAGCTTTTCCAGTTTTGCTCAATCTAGATAAGCATGAAATAAATGGCATGTAGACTCTGAGAAGTATTAGAGACACTCTTTCAAAATAAAATCCCCAAGCTGCATGTCCACTGGACAATTAGGCTCAACAGAGGTTTGCTTTCTTTATGTACATGTTTTTCTCACGGCCTGATAGGATTTCAATTTTGGTCATTTGCAATAGAAAATAAATACACTTTCCTGTAAGGTTCCTTAGCTGTAAAACATCAGGTGCCTTAGAACCTGCTGGAATATGATTCCAGGACTACTGATATGAAGACCTCTTTACAATACAATACTTCTCCTACCAATCCATTTACTTTTTGGGACAAATCTTCTATTCCTCTTAACTTGGATCCTACCTAACCAAGGATTGGTACTGACCAGCAAAGCTGACTCTGGGTTAGAAATCTGAGCCCCCTATCTGAGGTCAGCAGTGTTTACCACAGGAGCAAGAGGAATCTGTTAACCATGTTTGAGAAGAGCCAAGGTCACATTTGGGGGCCATGAAATCCACTGGGGCCAGAAACAGGAGTCAAAACCCAAGGCGCCAAAGCTGTAAAGCCATAGCAAGCAAAAAACATGGAAAAGGTCAAATGAGAAACCCTAACAGGGAATAGTGTGCCATAAGGTTAATTTGCATGTCTGAAATCTCCCATGATGGGTGATGAGTGAGGCCACTTGGTTTAAGGAACAAGGTCAGGGAAGAGAGATTTCCTCTGGCAGCCCTGTTTGTGCATTTACTCCTGAGACTGGTTCTACTCTTGGCCTTATATGGCTATCTGACTCACTCTCTGTCTCACTCCATCCTCACTTGACTTTTATGTCACAAACTGCCAATTGTACACTGTCTGCTGTCCCCTGGAATTTGACCTTGGTTTGTCACATGATTCTGACATCCTTGTTTTCATTTTTATCCACTATCTCAGACAGGGATCCCAATCCATGACATGATCTGAGATAGGACAACCATGTCAGTGAGTGTGCATCAGAGCTGAATGTGAATTTTAAGTTGTCTTTGATCCCGTTTTGAAGATGACTCTTGAAGAAAGGATAAAAATTGTTTGTGTAAACCATAGTGAACCATGCAAACAAACCCTAACTCACATCTTCTACGGCCATAACTATTTCACCTTAGTCCCATTGTAATCAGCACAGTTCTCATTGATCAGTTATCTGACCACTTGGATTATTAGCAGTTTATGTAAGGGAGGGGTTGTGACTTAGACTGGAGATTCCTTTGTAAAGCCTTCCTTGATCCTGGCCTCCTTCAGACCAGATTAATTGTTTCTGAAATGCATCCCTATAGCATCCTCTATTTCACCTGTCATTACCTAGGACATTTTGAAATATTTTTCTTGTTTAATTGTTAACATCCTTGTCTAAACATCCCTCTATTCTTTCCCCAAAACAGGACATGGCTTAGACAAACTATGCACTTAATAGATAAATAAATCCAAATTCAGAGATTTATAGCAAACAAAGGGAATTAACACTTATGGAATGCTTATACTATGTCAGGAATTATGCACAATTTTTAAAAATTGCATTTTAATTTTATATCATAAACACTGATTTCTTGTTTAAAAAATGAAACCTATGGGTAGAAAATATCTCCTTCGACCATGGCACTCAGTGTCAGTCTATTCCCACACTCCCCAAGAAACCATGATTCCCATGCTGAACTACATCATCTGTGGTATGTAAACTTATACTTTTTATGCATGTTAACATTCACATGTATACTAGCTGAAATATATAATACTGCTTTGTGTATATTTATATAAATGGTGTTGAACTATATGATTATTCTATATTTTGTGTTATTTCATTCAACATTGTTTCTTGAAGTTCTCCTGGTGTTAAGAACATACATATCTACCTCAGTCTTTTTTTTCTTTCATAGAATTAAATACCAAAGTTAATGTACCTGTTCCTCCACTGGTGAACATTAAGGCAGTTGTCAAGTTTTGCCAATTACGTGATATCTACAGTATCCAGTATGACGTACACATATTTGTAGATGCCAGTTCATGCTCATAGCCACTTTTTAGTGTAGGAACTAGAGGCTGGATTGCTATTTAGAGGGTGTGTCTAGCCAGCTGTGTAATAGGACACCTAGCTCCTCATACCCTTGGGGAAGGGTGATATGATCAAGCAAGTTTATTCTCTTGGTAGATTCTATGTATTCTTTTAATACTTGAAACACAGTCGTTTACTGTCCTGATTTACATGAAATGTTCTGTATACTACAGACAGGTTTTTATAGGCATTATTTTTTTAGCTCTTAGAATCAGATTATGAAATAGGAATTTAGAAATTATTTTATTATTTAATTTCCTTTTAAATTGTAAAATAATAAGTGTATGTATTTATGAGGTACAGTGGTGGTAATGTTTTGATGTGTGTTTACAATGTCAAATGATTAAATCGTGTTGATTAAATCCATTTACTTTACATCCTTACCATGTTTTGTGGTGAAAACATTTAAAATCAACTCCCTTAGCAATTTTTAAATACACAACGCATTATTTATTAGAGTCACCATTCTGAAATAGAAATTTTAATTATTTTTCTCTGGGATGCCATGTATATGGCTCAGGAAGGAGATTAAGTTACATAAACATGGCACATGCTAGCAAGTTCAGGAAATCCTAAATGAATATTACATGATACTTAGAGAGTTAATCTGAACTACACATTCTTACATGCATCAATCAGAGACAAAGAAATAAAAGCAAATTCTGTCAAAAACTGCCTAGAACTGCCTAGAGGACTGTGCACTGTGGTATAGTGGGTTAGACTGCTGTGGAGCCCCAGTTCTAGCCCTGCCTGGTACTTCTGCTTTGGATCCAGATTCCTGCGAATGATTCATGGGAGGCAGCAGATGATGACTCAAGTGCTTTGACCCCTAACACCCATGTGGGGGACCCAGATGGAGTTCTAAGCTCCTTGCTTTGACCTGGCCCAGCCCTGGCTGTCGCAGGCATTTTGGGAAGCAAACAGATAGATCTCTGTTTCTCTCTCTGATTCTCTCTCTCTCTCCCTTTCATGTAGATGAAAACATACATTTTAAAAAACTGCCTAAATTTTTTTTGCAATAAAATTTTAATGACACAAACATTATAGATATGTATGGGGCACCATGTGATGTTTCAATCATGTATACATTGTGTAATGTTCAATTCAGGGTAGGTGTACTTATCTTCTCAAATATTTCTTTTCATGATGAAAATACTTTTTTCCTAGCTTTTTTGAAATACACTGTACATTATTATTACCTGTAGTCACCCTCCTGCACAATAGAATGCCAGAACTTATTTCTGTGATCTAAAAACACTCATTAGTCAATATTTCTCTATCCCTGACACTGTCCCTTCCCCCATCCCTTTACTCTTCCCAGCCTCTTGCAACTATTATTCTATTCTGCATTTCCATGAGATAAACCTTTTTAGATTTCATATATCTAAATATTTTCTTTAGTTAGAGTTCTTTAAGTGCACAATAGGGAAACAGAAGTGGCTCACTCCTGTTAAATATTTAGTTTGTTTCAATAATAGGAGAGATGAAAATTATTTAGAAAATATTTTTCAAAAATAGATTTCTTTGGGGGCTGGGGCTGTGGCATAGCAGGTAAAGCTGATGCAGTGCCAGCATCCCATGTGGGCGCCGGTGCTTGTCTCAGCTGCTCCACTTCAGATCCAGCTCTCTGAAAACTCCTGGGAAAGCAGTAGAAGATGGCTCAGACTGCTTGGGCCCCTGTACCAGTATAGGAGATCCAGAAGAAACTCCTGGCTCCTGGCTTTGGATTGGCGCAGCTCCAGCCATTGATGGCCATCTGGGGAGTAAACTAGTGGATGGAAGACCTCTCTCTCTCTTTCTCTCTCTCTCTGCCTCTGCCTCTCTGTAACTCTGCCTTTCAAATAAATAAATAAAATTTTTTAAAAAAGGGTTTCGTTTTTGTTTTTCAGCAAACAAATTAAGAATTAAGTGAAAACAAACACATTAAAGCAATGGAATATGTCAACTGAATACAAGTTGTCTTATATGTTCTGAAACCTTGAGAAAGGTGCTTTACTTATCTGAGGTAGATTAGGTTGGTCTGCTCTCAGGGACACTTCATTCATCCCAGAAATTTCCTTCTAATTTTGGTCAGTTTCCCAAATGTTGCCTTTCAACTTCAGGTATCCTATGTGAATAATGCCAACACCTTTCCTGTGCACCTCTGTGATTAAAAGCCCTCAGACCTGTTTCATCCTTTCTGATTTCTTTGCTAGAGGATGGTCCACTGTGAATTTTCTTAAAGACTTGAGACAAGTACCAGTAAGTTTAATGGAAAGAAAGAGAAAGTCAGTGTCCTGCTAATTATACCAAACATGTCTGCTTCTCCAGATTCTATCTAGTAACTCATAAGTAGCCCTAAATGGTGAATATTCATTATCACTGCACCATATACTCACTACTATTTTAAGGATAACAATTGTCAAACATATACTAGTGATTGGCATGATTTTCACTAAAGAGAAAAAATGCAATGTGTGTTTTATCACTTTGGCAACTTTTCATGGTGAAGTAGCTTTTTATAAAAATCACTGGAATACATTAAATCAAATAAACTTCATAGAAATATAAACCCAGGATATATAAATGAGCACATTTGAGCACATTTCCATTTTCTTCTTCCGTTGAATTAACAAATATTTAATACAAATAACTCAGACTCAAGTAGCATCTGCTACTGTAGACTGGTGAATAAATATTTTATTAATAGTCTGAATCCCTAGGTTTTGGTTTATATTAGCCAATCCCTTAACTGCCATAGGCATTGGCATTGGGGTTCATGAAGCTAACCAGCTGTTACCTTGCCGGAGGCTGATAGCTTTGATCCTATTGACTGGTGGATGGTCATGATAATCCTAGGACCAATGGCTATAGCTCATAATGGTAATAAGGTATCTTACTCCAGGGTATTTTTTTTCTTTTAGAAAAGTGGATTTCTTAACAGAACAATTTTATAATTGGTTTTATTCACAAATGAATAATATGAAACGAGAAAGGAACTAAAATGTTAAAATGAAGTAGAATTGAATTTATTATAAATTAATAATGATTTCCAAAAGTAATGATAGGAATGAGACCCCCCATCCCAGCTTATAGCATCTGTGTCTAGATTCAGCTAAAGGACTGACCACTAGGCAGCAGGCTCTGTAACAGGCAAGCTTAGCAGGGGTAGGAGTGAGTTGGATAACAAGGGGGAGACTGATGTTTTAAAGTTTACCATAAGATCAAGCCAGATGAGACTGCATTGACACACAACTATGCTTCAGAGTCCAGGAAGCATTGTTTATGCTGGAGGACTCCTTTGACAACTCTGCCTTCTCAGCAACTTTTCTGTTTTCCTTCTATCAATAAACTGAATTGTTTCATTGAAATGGAAACATGAATTCTTTCCACATTGGCCATTGAGCAGCTCTCAGTAAAATTCATTGCTCATCTGTAGCAAGAATTTGGGTCACTCTGGTAAGCACTTTTGTTGTTATTCTTGGTTTTATTCTGCACCACTATTTTTTTCACCAGTCTTTCAATTTGATTTTTTTATACTTATGTATCCTTGCAAGCTGCTTGCTTACACATTTTTGAGCAAAGTAAAAAATAAAAATGCCCAAGAGTCTGTTTTACTCATAAGGATCATGCATTCGAAAGTGAATTTGTCATAGTTCTTTTGGTCACAAATGTCAAAAAGCCAAATCTGTTGCTACTGTAAAGATAGAAATTGGGAAAAAAAGTCAATTAGCCTAGGAGTTATAAGAATTGTTCTCATTTATTTTTAAAAAATTTTATTAATATAAAGAGAACAGATTTCATTTATTTCATAAATATAATTCTAAGATAATCACATTTCCCTCCCTCTTCTCTCCTTTTCCTCCCTTCATTATTCTTTAATTTTTGCAAAAATATTTCAGTCCACTCTATAATCACAAGCTTAATGCACCACTGACCATAATACTCAATGAATAAAAAAACAGAAAGATCACAGTTCCAGAGGAATATAAAAAAATGGCTAAATCAACAATCAAATCTCCAGGTGTACTTTTTGTTCCTACTCATTTTTTTGTATTCTATATTAACTACTACATTGCAGAGAAAACATGATAGCTGGCTTTTTGAAAGTAGCTTATTTTATTAAGCATAATGGTTTCTAGTTGCATCCATCTTGTTGTAAAAGAAAGGATTTCATTCTTTTCTATGGCTGAGTAGTATTCCATAGTGAAAAGAAATTCCATTTTCTTTATTCAGTTATCAGTATATGGACATGTGGGTTGATTCCACATCTAAGCTGTCATGAATTGAGGTGCAATAAACATGGGATACAAATAACTCTTTCATATGCTGATTTCATTTCCTTTGGGTAAATTCCCATGAGTGGGATGGCTGGGTCATGTGGTAAATCTATTTTCAGATTTCTGAGGAATTTCCATGTTGTCTTCCATAATGGTTGTACTAGCTTACATTCCCACCAGTAGTGGATTAGAGAACCTTTTTACCCACATCCTCACCAGCACTTATTAATTTTTGATTTTTGGATGATAGCCATTCTAACTGGGGTGAAGGGAAACCTCATTGTGGTTTTGGTTTGCATTTCCCTGATGGCTTGTGATCCTGAGCATTTCTTTCATGTGCCTATTGGCCATTTGAATTTCATCCTTTGAAAAATGCTTGTTCATGTCCTTTGCCTATTTCTTAACAGGATTGTTGTTTTGTTATTGAGCTTCTTGCACTCTTTGTAGATTCTGGATATTAATCATTTATCAGTTGCATAGATTGCAAATATTTTTTCCCACTGTGTCAGTTGCTTCTTAACTTTATTGAGTGCGTCCTTTGCTGTGCAGAAGCTTCCTAGTTTGATGTAATCCCATTTGTCTATTTTTGCTTTTTATTATCTGTGCTTCT